GAAAGCAAACACTTCTCGTATCTGAGAGCTCCAGCTCCGAGAGGCGTGCTTTAGTTCGACTGACACGCTTGGCATGAGGAAAACCGAGATCATGCATTACAGATGCTGTTGGAGCGCTCAGCGCCTGATCCACGGGACGGTCAGAGCTCCTCTGAAGACGCTCGCATCTATATGAGTGAGAGAACAGATGGAGGTTATGAGTAAGTTCTCATTTCTCGAGCAGTTAATCGTCCTTGAGCTGCGGGCACATTTACACACCTGAACTGTTTCCAAAGTCAAGCTGTATGATGGTAATAGATAGTTTTTTGAGCTGGGCAGGACTGCACAGGTCAGCAGCGCTGTGCTTTTGGCTGTATGTTGTGTTCACCACGTGTGCAAACACGCAACGCTTCCACACCAGCTCTCTGACATCAATCACCTTTAATGAAGCCTTCTGATTCTGGTGAACCTGGAGTCAGTCGACCAAATGCCACCTTCAGCCCTGGCATCTGTTCCTCAGACCTGCTGCAGTTTAAGGGTCCTGATGCCCCACCCCTTTCACTGACCACACCCACATTAATCATTGACCCACCTCTCCTTATCTCTGATCACAACCATATCATTTCATGCCACACCCTAACTCTCTGGCCCCGCCCACATTGTTATATGACTAACCCCCTTGCTCACTCTTTGGCCACGCCCACAGTATGCCCCACCCCTCTTTCGGTCTAGTCCCGCCCTCATCAATCCATGCCCCACCCCTCCCTCTCTCTGATCCCACCCACATCATTCCCTGTTCCTCCCTCTCTCTTTGGCCCCGCCCACCTCTTTCCCTGCCCAGCCACTGGATGAGATGCTGTTGTATGAACAGAATCATGCACCGTCAGTTGATCCAATCCGATCTGTTTGCAGAGATGTCATCACTCATTCTTAAATGGAGGAGCCAAAAACAGTGTTTCAAACTCCAGCAGTTGTTTTCAACTTTAAAAGTAAGCTGTATCAACGATGCATGTGCTCATATGAATGACTGGCGCAGTGAGACGGGTCACTTGAAGCACATGTGAAGCGCAGTGACAGTGAGTGTCCAGTCATCAGCGCTTTACGTGCTTTATCCACATGCTGTGCTGCGTGTAGTTACTAAATCACCAGCACTCATCCGATCACATCCGCTGGAGACAGTAATCGCAGGTGCAGTCTGTTGAAACTGACCGCTTGTTACTTGAGAGACTGACATTAACAGCGGCTTTGAAACTGGCTGAGATTCTGATAGGTTCAGAAACCGGTCTGATATTAGGAGGTAAACACTGATTGTATGTGCATTTGGTGATGAAAAGCGTTCAGAGAGTGTTTTATTTAATTATATTGTAGAGGTATAATTTCCATCTCCTCTGCATCATAATGAATGCTACTATATATATATATATATATGTGCTTACATGAGCTGCTGGACACAATCAGCACACAGACGCCGCTGATGAAGCAATCAGGCATCACCTCCCTCTCACAGTCATTTACTAACACAGCTTTGTTACCAGCAATCAGGTACCACACACACATTCACGCACATACACACACACTCTCACACACACTCACGCACACACACACACACACACACACACACACACACACACACCCTCACTCACACCC